TTCAAATTTGAAAGGAATCGGCGAAGAAAAATCTGACCCAGATATTCACTGCCCAAAAGAAATCATTTCTCTTAATCGAAAACTTGAACCTACTGGAATCACATCAAGGAACAAAAGAATCTGGTGACGTAATATTGACAAGACAAAGCTATCCATCAATTGCAATAATTAGAAGAAATCGAAGGTCATACATATAAATGGACCGAATTAAACAGAATGAGGGCACGACCGACTCTGAAATTCACTAAGCTTAAAAATAATCAGGGACGACGAATTACCAACGCGCAATATTCCCAGAAGATTATTGAATATCTTGCAAATGAATATTGCCAGAAATAGATCCTATCTCCTTCATTATACCAATGAGATTTTAGACAAGGATATAATCGAATCATCATTGTACGAAATATGAATAACATCAATATATAAGAAGGGAGATTCCAATATTTTTGAAAATTATAGATCAATTTCCCTTCTATAAATTTTCTATAAGATCATTGCGGCCATCATCAAAAACCGCCTCTCCGAACAATTAGACAAATGGATCATGGGCACGCAATATGGCTTCAGAGCAGGCAGGAACACAAATTACGCTATCTTCCTCGTAAAGAGGCTGCAGAATTAGGGATGTCCAGATGTGCTCTGGAGCTGTTACCGCTTAAGTTTGGCGGCACCTTTGGGTCGTGCCCGAGGGACATGCCAGATTGTTGAGATGTTAGGTTTGTTTGTGGCTTGTGTAAGGTTTTGCAGTGAGGTTCTATTGTTGCAGCTGTTTTTTTTGTGAATGATATGTTTTTTTTGGGAGGCAAAGCTATATGTTGTGGAGATTTTTTTCATGTAGATTGGAGATGTTGTTTTCTTTAGCAACACCTCTTTTTTTGAGCCCACACATATGTGACACTGTGACACTGTCAACAAAAGCCGACTCGCTGATCAAAGAGAAAAGGAAATTGCTGGCCAAAGAGATGTGGTCCTATGGTTTAGTCAGTGAATAGTTTGCTGTGAGGTGTGTGTCTTGTATGTTGTCTGTGCACTCTGGTTTTTGCCATTGCAGTTGCTGGCAGGTGCTCCAAAAAGCTTCAGTGGATGGCAAAGGACAAGGCAGAATTCAAGAATTCATATAGAACCACTAGTTTCAAAATTTCACCGCCAGGAAAAAACCTGGAAACCATACCGGAAAACGAAGAGACAAAAAAATATCGCAAGATCTCAGATTCAGATGTCTGAAATCGTGTCAATCTGGAAGTGCTGGGGATGGGTGGGTGTAAGTGCGGCACCCCAACCTGCCGCCCGACTTGGCTAGAACATCATCCCAGAGGGATTTGGACATCCCTACTGCAGAATATAACCAAAATTATTGGAAATAATTTAGTAATTATTCTTTTGAATTGGAAGATTTTAAATTCCACCAAATACATTCATTTGAATCCCTCCTAAGCTAGATATTCCTATCAAATCATTGGCATTAATTGGCAATATTTATGAACATATTAATTTTTAAATTACCTGCAATGAAAGAAAATAGAATCTATTTACCCAAAATTCAGGTACAAAATAAGGATATCCCTTTTATCCTTATCTTTTCATCATATTCATATCCACGGTATTATCAAATATATAAGCAAATTTAATCATACCCAAATAAAATCATTTTCTTAAAATAGTAATTTTTACAAATATATTGTATATTAATAATTTCATAATTTTTAGCGATAATAAATCTTTAATATATATATATATTTATTAAATATATAAATATAGATATATATTAATATAATATAAAATCTGAATATAAATTCATATTAATATATTATTAAAAAAATACCTAAATAAACATTAAAATCATACGAATAATTATCAATATATATATATATAATAATTATCAATTCCTACATTTAAATATCATTTATTTTATTAAATTCATTTTAAATATATTAATCCATTTCAATATTTTATATAACATTTAATTGTATCATTATTTTAAATATGTAATTTCCAATATATAATCAATTTTATTCTATTTCAAAAGATCTTGATTTGTATATCTATATATATCTATATAATTGTTTTTTTTCTCATAATTATTATATCATTCAAATATAATACTATATTAATATCTATTTATTTATATATATATAATAGATTCAATTATTCAAAGCTATATTTAAAATATATTAAATCTCAAAAAATATATCCGCCGACCCCTACTTTGGCGAAGGCAGGGACGGCGCCTGAGACCATCGAAGGTGTGGAACCTAAGCTCTCCAAATCCTTTCTTTTCTGGGCCCGAAATGAAATGCGCAAAAATTTAACAATTGCTAGACTGTGGGCGCAGTTGCCAGACGGTGGGCTCTGGGCTCTGGCCCGCCAAATCCTTTCTAATGGTTCGAAATTGCCCTTCAAACCCCTCAAGTCCCCCGAAATTTGCCAATGGTTCTGCAATACTGGCAGTTAGAATAGCCAGCTTCTGCATTCTAGACGCGTCAGACGCTCCAAAATCTCGCACTTGCTGGACTGTGGACTCTGGGCTCTGTGCCAGATTGTGGCCTCTGGCGCGCCAAATCCTTTTTTATAGTGGTCCGAAATTGCCCTTCAAATACCTTTAACCCCTCAAAATTTGTCAATGGTTCTGCCATACTAGCAGTTGGAGCAGCCAACTTCTATATTCTAGACGCTTCAGACGTTCCAAAGCTCTGGCGTGCCAAATCCTTTTTTGTAGTGGTCCGAAATTGCCCTTCAAATGTTTCAAATCCCTCGAAATTTGCCAGTGGCCCGAAATTGCGCGGACGCTTCAAACATCTCAAAACCTTGCATTTGCTAGATTATGGGCTCTATACTAAATTAAGGACGCAATTGCGCAAACTATAGGCTCTAACAACCATAAATGCTCTATTAGAGTTATGCTTTATTAAAATCATTATTTATATTGGCTTTAATATATCATTTCCCTTTTTTTCGTGGTCCGCAACGACCCCTCTAGGTTATTTCTTGCCTATCGTTTTCTATACATTCTTCTTTTAATCTTTCATTTTTCCAGCAAACATATATTAAAAGAGATTATTTTCGCTCGCTTTTACCTAAGGTCTTTTATCTTAGATTCTTTTTTTTAAATATACTATATCCATTAATCTAAGTGCAAATTATTCCATGCAATATTGCTTTTAATCCGCACGATTTAGATCTAAGGCTTCATTCAAATAGGAGTCGGTGGCACCCGGGCGGAGCCCTTACAATATATATATTTCGATATATTTTATTATATACAATATATCTATTTATTATAATATACTTAATCATAATTATTTATACATATATTAGTGAATATTTTTGCGAATCAAATTGAATTCCGGAAAGTTCCATGTGAAACAGTTTGCAGCTCAAGAATGCTCAAGATTGATTGGAAAGGTGCAACCTAGAATGACACAGGGGAGGAGCTTCACCATGATCTCTGAACCACACAATATAATCTCATGAGAAAGCACGGGTCGAACCATACTTACTTGGCTTTCTACTTGGTGCAGAATCTGTAACTCCTTCCACCGTCTCACCCCTGCGTGCCGCCTACGTCGTCCTCACCAGCTGACTGTCTCGGATTCCATTCTGGCGCAGAATGGCTCTCAGTCGGGTTTGTTTGGAACATGGCTTTCAGACATATGGAGGCTGGTGCAACAGAAGCCTCCAGTGTGCCAACTCAAAACCTCGAGTGCCGATCGCATTTTTGAGTGACGATATGTGACAATCGCCCCGGAAGTTGTGCCAATCATGGCTGCTCTGGAGGTTGTGCAAAAACGAGGGGCTGGATATTGAAAACTTGGACGGTGCAGCAGCCCAAGTACAAATGAACGAAAGAGGTGGTGGTGAGGTGGGCACAGCCATACTTGATACACATTGGGTGGCAAACTAAACACTACTGTACGGCTCTGTTCATGGAAAATAGCATGTCTTTCAGCAAGAAGAATTGCGCAAGCAATTCCATTTCCAATGAAACAACCAGCCCATGCGCTCCCAAGGCTTGTAGACCTCATGTGACAGACGCTGATTCGCCCACCTGCTGCTGATGTTGTGGCCAAAGCTCTTGCGCCTTCAGGATCAGCCATTGGGTATTGTCCTGGCGTAGGAGTACCCTGGAAACTATTCGCAAGGAAGGTCTGCCGTGGTCAGCACATTTGGATGACAAATATTTGGATGACAAGTTGGATTGCAATTGGGTTCCGACATCAGGTGTTCCTTTTCATGCAGTCTTGGTTATTTGTCTGTGCATCCAAACCACTACGAGAACATCTTCGATAATTTGATGGTATATTATATTGATGTAACTTGTCACGCGGTCCATCCCGCTCGTCCATCAAGAAGAATACTGTGACCCTCCCTCATCCAACAAACCCCAAAGACTTCCAGCTACTGACCCGTAAGAACTGAAGGATGGAGCCACGTGCTCCCAACCCCACAAAATCCCCGTGATGTTCCGGTAGAGAATCCCACAAAAGCGCTGGGCAATGCAACTGCCACCAAGAACGGTTCACATGCCAAAGCCATCTATTTTTGACACCTCTGGTAGAGAATCCATCCTGATCTCAGGCTCCTTTCCAGGCAACATCCAGCAACCATTTCCCCACGTTTCGTCTGTCCAGCAACTGCATCCAGGAGTTCCCCAGCTTTGGCAACTGACGCAGCAGGGCCACATACGACCTGGTTCTGAGTGGTGCAGGTGGTTCACTCTAAAGCTTGGTAGAAGAATCCGGAAAGGTTTGACTAATGGAGTTTGCAGAACGATCTTGACATTCGTCGCCTCACATTCAGAAGATTGTCAAGATTGACTGTACCAACCATGACAATGCACGGTAAATTTAAGGCAGCACGGTTGCTGCTTCGTTGCAATGCTTCCGGGCAGCTGTTCAACACTATCTGTATACAATTCCTGTTTGTCACATTGCTTCCCCCTGCTCTTCTAGGTCCAAACAGGCCTTCAACATGGATCAATTAACATGGTTTAAGGCATGGACGTTTTGCACACCTTTCTACAGTATTGAGCTTAGCTCCCCATCTGGTGTATACACATCTTGACATCTGCAAGCTGAGGCTTGAGTATTCAGGGAGCTTGTAAACATGTGAAATGAGGGAGACCCCCTAGAACAAGGTATATATCTATACATACACACAGGAACCACATGGAACTATGATACAAACACATCTTGGTCTCAAGCCAATACAGTGGAATGTACTGTGACAACAAGCGAAGGGCACCTCACATGCGCGACTGCATCTGCAATGCGGTGCTGGACCGCAGTGTGAACCTCAGGAGAGCAACGGCGACGAGGAACCCCATGGTGGCTGGGCCGAGCACTTGAACACACCGAATCACTCACCCACCCATGTGGTGTGCTTGTCTTTTTAGGCAAAAACAGTGCGTTGTGCATCTGAAAGCCCCAAGGGCATGCAGCTGAAGCACAGCCAGGTTGTGATAGCAAACTGCCAGTAAAGAGGAGACTGGTGCATCACTCAACTTGTTGAGAGCCTGGCCAAGGTCACAAGAAACTTGTGCATGCAGCAGCAGGGAAGACCAGATTTAAATTTGGTGACCCGCCAAAATTACTTGGTGCCGGCAACTCCTTATAGGGGAGTAGCTTGGGCCTTGCATGGATTGCAGCAATTCCAGCGAATGGAGGTCACCTGCTAAATCACCTTCCCATCACTTGGGCCTCAAAGAGACGCCACCACAGCGTTTTACCCAAACATCCCAAACACATATCACATGTGGGGGCAAACTTAGCCATTCGTCAACTATACATGAGTCATGAATGTCTTCTTGAGTTTGCTTACGGGGCTTCCGCAGTGCCTCGCGGCCCATGAATTCAGTAGATCTCATTAGGACCAACTCACGTGAGCGATGGACCAAAGATCCAGTAAAAAAGACTTTATGTATTTTAAAACACTAACAAAAACAACCTGGGAATAGAATCGAGGGACGACACGCACCATAGATTTGCTCCACTCCTCGACTCCCTCAGTTTCGACCTGACTTTCTCTCAACCTGTGGTTTAGACTTGCAGGGTGGTGTTATCAAAGACCGGCTTGCTACGCAACTAAATTGCAGATTTGAACTGTATGACCTAGAATATCAATGGTGTGACATGCAGCAACATCTCCTGCCTGTTGTGTGTAGTACTCCGCCTCAGACTTGCTTCCTTGCAAGTGTAGTACTGCAGCAGCACGGAGGCAGCACCTGGGTGGAGTTGTTTGCATCGGCATCCTGGATAAGCTTGCTGCATTCACAGACTTTGCTGAGTATGTGAGTATATGTGAGTATAAAACCCATGGTCAATCATTCACTCAAAGATCATCACACCATCATAATAATTAGATCTCTAAGTGTACCCGCAGCAAAATCAGGGACCCTCAGTTTCCACGGTATTAGCTGGGTAGGCCCGGGCAGGCGCTTCCGGATGACTTCTGGTATGTCTTCAGTCCCAGCCGCTTGCAGTATCTGTTGATGTGCCCCAAGCGCAAGTAGCGCTCCGATGCCTGGCGGGCGAAAGGTGGCGACATCGGAGCGGATCGTCTGGTTGGAGCGGACGGGTAAAGCCGGTCATCTGTGTCAGGCGGTGTCAGATTCCTCAGACATCTAATTGACACAATGATCGTCGTTGATCAAATCTACTGACATATTTTGGAAGGCCCCAACAGCTGGCTTTTGATCTGCTTTGCGGAACTTGACAGTGTTGGAATAATATTTGCAGGGTCTCATTGGTTTGAGACACACCACGCAATTAATTAGGTAGTATGGATGCAAATGACAATTGTTCTTCAATGTTCTGCTTGATTTGGTGGTTCCCCTCAGAGCTTCTACGTTTGTTGGACACCAGCAATCTTATCATGACGTGGTCAAAATGCAAAGAACCAAACGCTCTGGCAGATCCGGCCTGCTGGAAAAAGGACTGAGATCGGTCCGCCAAAGTCACATCATTGGGCATGTAGTAGCACACACTCAGGGCGGTGTCCTCAGGCGGCCCCCAGCAAGCTGCAACAAGCGAAGCCAGGTGCGACTTAAATTGATAAATTGATACAAGGAACCTTAGAGCTTTAGACGCAGCATGAACATGCACCAAGGTTTGAAAGCAGGACCATGCACTGCAGCACAAACATTCAACATCTGCGCACATTGTTGGACGACATGCTGAGATACCCGCGAACAAGTAGGCCTGACAAACACAAGTCATGACACATCCCGGGTTCTGTATACGCAGCAACGAAAGCTGGGCCCAGAGTCTTACATGCTCCGTATGCCAGTGAAAACTGCATGTCATGCCCCGTTGGTCTTGCAAAATGTCCTTGCAGGCCAAAGGTCTAACAAAGAAAATACGCAAACATCTCAAACTCTTCTTCTACTGCACTGCCAGCCTCTAGCACGGTGCGATGTCCAGGGTGCAAGTCTCGCAAAGAGAGGGACATATTGTCCAGCACCTGCAGTACCAAAAAGCTCTGCTGAAACAAGCGCAGCTGTAGTTGACTACTCCGCAAGTAGTCCCACACTAATCGAATTACCATTGTCATCCATTGTCATTTTGGTAAGCATCGGATTGAACACGGCGACCGTGCTGGCCCAACTAGACAACAACGGCGTCGAGCAGTGAGAGCGCCCCGTGCCTGTGTGATGAGTTTCACTGCGATGGCGCCCTGCTGATTCTTCAAACAAAGGCCGGAGTAGCCGACAATGAGCTGAAGAACCTTGGAATTCGCAGTCTGGGGATGCTGAGCAAACTGGGACCACCCAGAAGACCCGATCCGACCAAATCTAAATGAAAGACGATGAAGGGAATTGGTTCAGCTCGTCTCCTACTTCAGAGTTTCTGCCTCGTTGCTGTGTGGCAAAACAGTTCTGCAAAAATGGGGGCCTTGAAGCTCCACAGCTGGATGTCCGACAAAAAGACCATGACACATGTCCAACCTACAACCACCTGCAGGATGCCAACGCCCGGCTTGGCTTGTATTGTCAAACATATTTTTGCCTCTCATGCCACCTTTCAAGGATTTGAATGATTTGATGTTGTGAGAATAATATGTGATGATGGTTGGTGAAACTACATTCCTCTTCCCAACGCATCCTGCGCAAGCCTGGCCAACCTACGGGCCTGGAACATCTGAGAGCCGGGCGGTTTCCACCAGCAGCGGCTTTCCACTCACCATGCTTGCGGGACTCAAGACGTTGAGGCTCCTGGCAAACTGAAGAAGCACCACCTCTGGTCTTTTTTGGACAAGGATGGTACCAACTAGGGTTGGACAAAAGGCCTTTGGGAGGTCAACCGGTTCCTATTCTTGACAGAGGGCATGCGGGGCTCTGTGGTGTCGTAGACGTGCTGACGTGGCAAACGGTGCTCATAACACCTAGCACAAGAAACATGGTTGTCACTAGGAAGCATTTACGTCCCTCAAAAGATTTACAGGCTGGACCCCATTATCCCCAGGCTGGGCATTTCAAGGATGTCTATTCTCTTCAAGAACACAACTTACGATTTTTGGACGACCGGTTCTTGAATCAATCTTCAGGATTCTTCAGGCTATCAGGTTCAACTCGATCAAGCGTACCCGCAAGAGTGGTGTGCCCTTTCCACACTTCGGAGCCGAGCCCAGTCTCACCCTGGCGTAGCAGACTCCAAAAGCTTGATGCAAGCCGAGTACCTTTCGCAAACCGCGCGCAGGTAGAGGTACAGGTGATGTCTTGGGCCAACAAGCTGTGCAGTGACGATGACCCCAACAGTTTCAGTTCCTGTGGCAGCAAAGTTGCACTTAATTCAGTTTATTCCGCGGATCTGCGACCTCTTTGCCAGAAGTGTCAACTCCTGAGAGTCAGTCACGCAGACTTGGTCCTTTGTTGGTGGTTTACATTGAAACCTCTGGGTTTGAGGCTACCAAGCCGGCCATCGGCGCACTGGCCCTGCTTCTCAAAGTCAATGTACTGCTGTAAGACTCGCTGAGGCAACAGCTGCAAGACCTGCGCGATGTGGTTCGAAACCGGGAAGACCTGGGTTGACCACCGAAAACGAACAGAGTAGACTACAAGGGAGGTCAAAGTTACCAGGGATAAACGGGCTTAAGGTTTTGACCCACAGCCATTTCGGTCATCTTCACATCACCAGACATGACTTGCTCTCGCCCCTTTGGGAACCTTGTCCCCTAAGAAGCCGGTGGCAAGTGTCTGTACAGTAAGATCTTCGCATCACTAAGAATGGGCTTGGAGATGAGAACTCAACCCTTGTCAGGGCCCATGTTTCAAGCCAATTTCAGCAAGCAGCTATGAGTAAATGGATGGAACGTACAGCCAAACGGAACGCCACACATTTTTTTGTTTTTGGTCCCATTTCCAGCATGACAGGAAGCACACCCAAAGAACAAACCATTGACCATCATGACCCTTACAGTACCCGTGCGGCCTTCGCGCGATAAGCGGCAAAGCGATGTGCTTTGATCGGCAGCCAAATTGGCTTGCACCTGGCTGACGATGATGTGTCTTGAGTTCTTCACCTGTAAACAACACAGTTAGTATAACAACTGCTGGCAACGGGAACACATACGTGTGTCACTGTGCATCTATTGCTTCTTGCGAGCAACCTGTACTTCAATTTCTTGAGACATACAGCTATGATAGTAGCTGTTTGGTCTTGGAAACCTCTCAGCAAACACCAGGATATCCATCCATTAGAATGTATTGCTCATGCAAGGAACCTGGACCTAGACGTTGCCGAGTATGAAAGACAGCCCAAAAGTATGGCCTGGAAATGCAGAAGCTGGTGTCCAGCTTCGGCCGCCTCAGCCAATCTCAGCTATCCAGTCTGGCACTTTGGCACTTGGATCACAACAAACAATCGCATGGGTCATTTTTCAACGGTCTCCAAGTGGCTTTCACTCACCCAAAACACGAGAACTTCACGAGAACCTTCAATCCCGATAGAAACCCCATTGCGCAAGAAGACCTGCACCGCAGCGCGGACAGGCCGCCCTTCGACCGTCGACCGTCCCTCGGGCGACCTCTCCAAGCCAAGAGTCGACCTCGCTGGTGTGGACGATGAACCCGGACGGGTTTCTGGCCATGCGGGGCAGGTTTGGTGATGCTTCAGTCCATGTGGCACAAAGCTGGGTTCGACCACAAACCGCATCTGCGGTGGAAAGACTAAAGCACTTGATGGTGGGCCTCAAATAGTGCTTCCAATACATCACGGAAATTATCACCGAGTCATACTTGTATAGAAACCTGAGTGTATACGTGTATCCATTCAGCATAGAAGCATTCTTGATCGTCAATGTCACGAAGGGCAAGTTATGCGCACAAACTGTCTTGACCCCAAAAGATGGGTCACCGGGTCACTTAATATACTTACTGTAAGTCAGGCGCTCAGCATGTGTTTTTGCACGAGTTGGCAAATCGGTGCATCTCTCTGATGCAAACGAGATATTAATTCTGGTTTCTCCTTGGTGCTCGCACAAAAGACTGTGACTCTGGCATGCAAAGGTGCTATTCTGACTGCTTCACAGGTACAGGCAAAGCTCGATTGATGATTTCGAGACGGGACGTGTCCCAGATTTGGGCAAGTCTCTAGGGGCTTGATTTAGCTCGAGTGAGATAGCCTGAAAGCATTTTGGTCTGCACCTAATCTTGGGAAAGTGAAATCCTGATCAGTTGGCAAAAAAGGCTTGGCTTGCAACACTTCTTTTCCCCGCAAATTCTCCATGGGGCTTCCCCATCGAACAGTGGAAACTGTAGTGTATATTGAGAATGTTCGGACATGTTTGGACTAATAAAAGGCCCTCCTACAGTGGTCTCTGCGTGCAGTTTTCGAGTTTTCTTCACTTAACACCGGAGACCGGAGAAGCCGAATCAAATGGAAGCTGGGAGCCTGTGCACCCAGCCCTAAGACAAGAGATAGGCCTTTCTGCCAACCCAAGCGACATCGTTCTTCAACACCATATGTTCAAACATCCAGAACCACAAAAAACACCTGCTGACAAACATAGCCTTGGGACTTTTCTGCATGACTTAAATTCATCTCAAAGCTAAAGCTGTTTTTTTCTCAACGTCAACCGGGCTCTCACCTGCTTTTGGCATGGGATGCCCTCTTGAATCACAAATCAACATATCAGAGTGCAGTTGTCTCCACACATATCAGCAATGCTACACTGACGTTTGGTCTTCGTGATGGAACGACAGAAGACTAGATAGACCTTGTACGGGTCGGCAGAAGTTCCAGAGTAAACCCCAATCTCGTCCACTGTACTGGTGCGCCAAGCACACCAATGCAGGTGTCAAAATCAAGTGAAACAGCGAGCCTTTCAATCAAGCGCTTTGCTCTCCAAACAAAGCAGGCATTCTATGCACAGAGTTTTGAAACGATTTCTCATGATTTCTCATTCGTGAAGCAGCCAGGATGACCTGCGAGAGAAAGGCTTCTTCTTGAACACATGATGTCTCCCCCCTCTTCTCCTCAACTTCTCAACACCAGGCGTGCCAAGAAAAGGCTGGTGGCTTAAGCGGCTGCATAGTTCTTTGTCCGGCAGGGACTCCAACAGGAGCAAGCTGCTAGCTCTCTCTCTCTCTCTCGACAAGTATCATCCTTTCATCGACAGTATCATGTGTAATGCCATAAACCAACAAACCTCCTCAGATTTGTGTGCAGTAGGAGGTAGCAAAACTGAACGCTGCATTTTCCTACTCTTCTCGCTGCTCCGAAGATACAGTGCATCCAAACCGACACAAGCACAAGCACACAGCTGCTTGACGCCTAAGAATTCCTACAAAGGTGCAAGCAACACAGGCATTGGACATCCATATCCCCACCTTTAGGCCGTGCGGGGCTTTTTCCTTTGCCTTAATGGTCGGTGTCAGTGCAGCAAGATGTCTCTGCGATAGCAAGATATTTGGAGGTGGGCTAATCCGAAGTATTCCCAAGTACTACAATTCATTACAGTAACGTATAGTGACTAGTATCTCGAAATCTCTCCAATTAACAGCTCCGACTTTGGCAAATGGCAAATGGCATGCACCAGGGAGGACTCCATCTAGCTGAGAGCTGCACTGCTCGTCAATGCTCGCCTCGCCCCGGTGGAACCGGCAACTGCTTTGCATCCAAGTCCCCCGAATGTGGTCTGCCAAATAGTAGCTTTTAATGGTTGAGAGTCTCTTGGGCGTTAGATTCTGGGCACAGAAACCATTCACATCCGTCCAAACAGAACAGGGTTGCATGACCCATCCCCTACGCAAATCAATCATCCTCGATTCAAAGCTGGGTTCATAAGCGCTTCACCCTTCACCTCAAACTTCTGGACATCTGAAACACCATAGACAATATATACTTTAAACTTTAAATATGGAAACAATCACTGAGTATGTTAATGTTGTTTGCACCAGACCTTGTTTTACTGTTCTCCGATCCTCTAAGCCGCTCCAATAGGTAGCTATAAGTCCTCCAAATGGTTTTGAACATCAGGCCTCAAGGAGAGTCCGCACTTCCTGCGGAGAAATGGCGAAGGCAGGACGTTTCCACCCTAACAGAATGCTGTCAGATTCTACCAGGTGACCAAGCTGTTGCTTCAAGACGGCAACTTGACCCTCATCCCTTCAGCGGGCCAAGGTTCCTTTGAACAGCCACTGATCGTTGTCTGCGGTTGCCTTTCATCGAGGATATTCCAAACTTTTCTTGAAGGTATCGGCCAGGACACAAGACTCACAAGACCTAAGCTGATGTCTGATAATTATGTCAAATTCGTGCAACCCGTATTGCGATTGAGTGCCGTTGGTGCGACTTGCTGACGTTGGTCCGACCGTTGGTCCTGTTTCCCTGGGCGCCTACTTTTGGAGGGATGGGCTTCAAGCATGGTTCGCAAGTTTGCGCACAAACAAACATGACCCCTCAACAGAGATCTTGAACAAGAACAGCATTTTGAGTTGGGTGGTTTGAGTGAGGCTGAGTCGTACTTCAAACACACCAACGAAAGATACTCAGGTCTTTTTCTTGTTTGCTATAGGGCTTCTGCTTCCGTCTCTGGTCCAGTCTCCTTCGAGCTGTGACAGAAGATCTGTGCTGCGAGTCTCCCCACATTCTCCGGCGAACAGCAAAGGCCTCGGGAAGAGCTTCCCGGTCAGGTAGCCCCTAATTTTGTGATAGCCATAAGAAACGGATTCAGTCATATTCAGTCTATCAAACATTGTGGAAATGTATGCACTCTTTTCCTTACGCAAGAACAAAGCTCACTCAATTGCTTGCAACTGGTGTGGATCCCCAAAGAGGAGGAACTGCTTGCCACCAACACTTGCCACAGCTGAGCGCCAGACCTGAAGCGCTCTTCCTCAGTTGTTTTGCGCTAAGCTGTTTTGTTGATTTGTAGTCGGTTTGTTGTTTTGCAGCTGTTCGTGGTTTCGTTTGTAGTTGTTTCCCGAAAGGACGATTTGTAAACAGCTTCGCTCTCCCAGGTCCATCTTTCCGAGCATGCTCTTCCTAAGCAACTTGTGGAACCTGCTCAGGGAGCGGCATGCCGTTGGTAGGGCATGTGATCACAGGAAACCTCGGAGGCTTCGATGAAGAGACCCAAGAAAGGACAACCGTTCTTCTTGTTGGCATTATGCCTCAATCCGGGTAGTAGTGTAAATCACCGCAAAACACTTATAGACAGTGCATATATATATATATATTACACACACACCTAGTTATTGTGATCTGCAACATACTTTTGCTTGCTCTCCCACCGGGGCTGAACACTTATACCTTTTAACACTTATATATTTGGGGCACATATAATTCCAAGCAGGACAAATCAACGCAACCAAAGAGAACTGCAAAGTGCCCTGCAAGCTTGAGGACAACGCGCCAGACCTCAGCCAACAGGCTTGGGATCTTGGGAATCATCATTCACTCTGACTCATGGGATGCAGGGCTTGGAACCAAAAGCAAGAAGGAACACATTCCGTTTTGGGTCCCTGACCTGGAATGAGACTTACAAACAGCCAAGCAGAAAACTAAGCAGCATCGAATTCAGCGCTACATTCTGCCTAAACAAGATAAGCTTCCAAATGTTGTCTGACACGTTGATCTGCATCTGATCACAACTAAGTATGCAAATGTAGTTGGACCTTCTCACTTCATCAGGGCTGCCCTGCTGCGTGTCGCTGCATTGCACCAGGATCAAGGGTTCCGTGGACTTGTTGTATTCCGCCTGGCGCAGAACGGACATCACAAAGTTGATTTGCCGAAAACACCTTCACAACTTTGTGGTTTCGGGCTGGTAGAATTTGCTGACAAGTCATCTGCACCGAATTGCCAGGGAGTCTGGGGCCGACTCTTTGTCCAAACAGGGAACCACAAGAAATGACATGCACTGATTCATCCACAGTGTCATGGATGTACATATGTATATAAGTTAAAAAAAATATATATATCACATCTAGATCACATGGATTCTGGAGAACGAGTAGGCCAAGGTCCAGGCATGCCTGCGGCTGCGACAAATACACAGGATAAAGAAGCTCTTCGCTAAATTTTGCCATGGCAGCATGAGGAAGCTAGGTAGGATCCAGTAAGTCTCAAGCATGCCAGCCCTACGATAAGCTTGTCAGCAGCTGCAGCGTCCTTTGGAAGGGTGGCAGTCCTCAGCCAAGAAGCGCTCGGAGGTACAGCAGAATTGGGACAGTATGTCTCAAGACAGCCGGCCCAGAATCGAGTGCTACAATCTCTCTCTCTCTCTCTTACTTGCCTTACTTCTACCCAAATTCAACATACCTGCATGTACACTTCACATTCCTTGACATAGTAAATGGATGTTGAGCCCTCAAATCCAAGGTATCAAGTCTAAGGCGTAGACTGAGATGGAATCTTGAATTTGCTCAGTTCCTTCTTGATGGAATCTGCCTGCGACCTCATTTCACAGTTGCTGTGGGGTCTGCACACTTCGTGAAAACAATAATAACGGTGTTGACAATAGCTTGCCTTTTGACGACTCATTAGCTATCCTTCTTACCCCTCATGTTACAAGTTGGTTCAAAAAAAGGCAACATACAAAACAACTACTGTGCCTAGGCTCTAAAGGAAGCTGGCACAAACTTGCAAAGCTCTCTCAGTGACAAGACAGTCCAAAACAACTGCATAAATCCATGAGTCCAAGCTTGGATTCTACAGCACAAGTAACATGATAACAGGACAACTGCATTTGCAGTGTGGGATGTTAGGCGTAAATGGCTCAAACCCTCAACCATTACCGCGAAACCTAATACAAGCAGCCCAGCTTTGATGTTGAGCCATCCATAGTGAACCCAATTAAATGCAACCCTTGACCGTTGAGAACTTCTGAACATTTGCATCTAGTTTTCAGTCGAGAGGCTGGTCTGCATCCAAAATGATCGCCAAACAGCCACGGATCATGCCAGCCTTCTGAAGGTTGGAGATAATCCTCAATGGCCGGAGGGGGTCGAAGGGGCTGATCTGGGACTCCGACACCTGTTGGCAAATGCATTCTGCCGACACACTTCAAAGCGGAGCCGGAGGTTTGATTCGTTCCCCTCATGGCTTGATTCACAGGAAACCTTCGAATCATGCATGCAAGCCTGCGCCGAATCCCCACTATTGGAAGCAAAGAACAGTTGACACTGGGCAGATTTGAACTTGGCCTACCGGAGGACCCCCCCTGCAATCACCGCTTACATAGAGAAAGGAAGACCAGTTGTGAAGTCAAACACGCGGGATGGATCCCAAACTCCTTGCGACAGCGGCAAAGAATCACACTGTCGCCTTGCTTTAGTTCGATGAAGCACCCCTGATTCTAAGCCATGTTTGAGCCATTTTGGAGCTTGAATCTACTCAATTCTACTCGGACTATCGTCTCATTGCTTAAACCAATTGGCACAAATTCCTTCCAGGTCTCATTGAGCCATGACTCCAGATTCCCTTCACTTTGGAGCTTGAGTTCTCTTAGCTCGAAAACCCACTCTCCCCATATCCCGCCTCTTTTCTGGTGCCATCTTGGGCGGGAACTCGAACCTCAATGCCCGTGAATCTGCCAGGTGTCCAGCTGAGCTGAGATTGAACCCCTCCTTTCTTGGAGCAAGGTGATGACGAGTACTGGGTGTCAGCGTGAGGGCAAGCTGCAAGCTGGACATTTAGCTTGAAGCCCCGCCATGTTGCTCAGCTAGCTTCCAAGGATCTTTAGGTGATAATCTCAACGTGATCCGAGCCTGTGTAGCTGTTCTCGTACTCCCGAAAAGCGGCAAAACAAGCTAAGTTGCCCACGAGTTTCCCGTCACAGTCTCATAGATCTTCATATAGCGGAAGGCACCTGAACTTAAAAGATATTAACTGAACTTCCCAAATGAAATCATGGCAGCGTCAGCCTGCCACCCATTGTGGCCAATCAGGTTTTCAAGCAGTCTATCTGCTTTCACAGGAAGTTACATCATGATACATCTGGTACTGACTGCTTACTTGGAATAAAGACCTAATGCAACAGCTTCAAACAACATCGATACTGTAAAATCATGTAAAATCCGATCTTCTGCACGAGCCATTTTCTACAAACGAGATGCTACGGCACCTGTGAACCCACGAAGCACAACGGTGTCCGTCTACACTTCTGTTTAAAACTCACATGGCCACTTAGCAAGCACCCAATTTCGAGACAGCTTTTGGGTGTCCAGACGTCTTGAACTACAAAGCGGGCAACATCTAAGGTTGTCACATTCTACCACCTGCTCGTCGCTGAGCTTTGGTGCGCTCTTGTCCTGCAAGGTCAAACGGGAAACTCATCCATTTCAATTTCTGCACACCTGATACACATACATAAATAAACACATATACCGTATATATATATATGATTATATATGTCATCAATCACATGAGCAAACATCTTGTGTATATACATGTGCAGGTGCATACACACTCACACTTACCAGCTTCCATGGTGACCTATATTATATACATGCAGCTAATGGCCGAGGAAGATTGTCTTTTGGGGTGCTATGATATTCCAACGGAAACCTAAAGGTCTGGTTCAGCCTCATGATATCTCGTCCAGGGCGCAAAAGCCATGTTGAGAGAGAGATGTGTGTGTGTGTGGCCTGAACAGAATCAGATTCCCTCTGCACCATCCCAATCGTATTCTTGCATGTGCCAGTGTTCTATGTATCCCGCGCCCGCGCAATGCTTTTTTATTCCCAAGAGCTGATTCACTCACATGTCCAATTGAGGGATCGCTCGTACTAGCTCCCTTCTCACTCACATGATTCGCACCTTGTCAAGACACAAACCCTCAACCGTTGAAGCAGAATTTATCAACGAACCGATCGTCTGTCAGAGTTATGGCATTTACAAGCCTGAATGTCTTCCTTTGATCTGCCAGCAGCGTGATGCGAGCTCTCAGGCGCTTGTAGCTGTACCCGAGGAGTGGTGGGAATGAAGCAACCAATTCTTCAAGTTCTTGCACAGTAACAAATGTTCCAAGCAAATCATATTTTGCCTGCAAGTTCTTCTGAACGCTACACCCAAGAATTTGCGGAAAAACTGCTACTGCCTTTGCAACTTGCCTCTTGCTAAGGCCCAAATCCAGCAGCCACTCCACCGTTGGTTTCAAGTTCTGCTCAATGCTATA